CTGCGGTGACCGCCATCGGAACTGGGGCGCTTGTAAAAAGGGACACAACGTCGAGGGATACCATGCAGTCATCGCCGTTGAGTCTTACTTGAGAAACACTCTCTAAGAAGTGACCGGTGTTTTTCACATAGGTCGACGTATATCCAGCGTTGTACAGAACGGCATCCCAAGTAACGGCGTTCTGGGAACACGTGCTGCTTAGGAGGAATGAAGGAACGCCGCCGTTCCATTTGGCATCGGTGGAACTGGAACGGAAACTCGTTACATTTTTACTGGAACGGCAAAAGGAACGGCATTCCTTTTTTCCCCCCTTGGGATAATTTTGATTTTATTTCTAAGAGGGAAATTTTCAGAGTATAAAAACAATATCTTTATGAAGAGCAGAATCTCGTTGACGGTTTGGTTACTTATATTACGGTTTATTTTTTGTGGTCCTCGCTTGGTAACAGTTGGGTACATGAGAGCTAGTGGACACTGATTCTTCTTTTAGTGCCAGAGGCTGCAGACCAAAAAGGAAAAAGGAAAAGTAAAAGGAACAGAAAGAGGGACGTTTCAAACTCAGCTACTTGCTTTGCTTCCGCAAATCCACATACACGCAGAAATCTAAGGCCCACTACAGCCGCCACTGAACTTGCACGAAGAGACCCACAGTTACAACAAAAGAACAGGTTACCAGACATCGAACGCACTCTTCTATACCGGACATTGGTCACTTAAAAAAAACACGAAAGATTCACCGTTACTCCCTTCTCCCCTTGTCCCCCTCCTTCAAATTGATCAACGAATCCTACCTTCGCAAAGAAGGACTTGTAGTTTTCAAGACTGATCTCCCGAAAGTCCTACCTTCTTCTTAACTTGCTCGTATCAGTGCAGACAGCAACATCGAAAAGCAACCGTCGTTAAGTTCGAACAAGATGCTTTGTTCGATTTAAGCATGCGAGGCTGTTGTAAAACGCCGTGCAATATGCAACAGTACTTTTGGCTCGCCTGCACATCCCACCACAAACGTGAATATGGTTAAAATGTCAGATTTTATTGGTGAATATATCATGAAATAAATCTCTGCTTCCACTTGTGTTCTTCTCCAGGTGCCCTTCCATCACGGCATTTAAATTTTCATGTTAGCATTTGATGGGATGATAAACAAATATTAAACTCAGCTTGATCCATTCAATATGATAATCAGCAAAATACAAATGTAACTTATATGTAACGACACGTTCCATTTTTTAACTGTAACGGGAACGAGTTCTTTTTTTTTAGAGCGCAGCTCTTAGGCGCCCATTCCCGGCTTGAGCGGCGTCGCCGTCGGTGTAACCGCGCGGTGCATTATGGGAAATGTCCCATAATGCACCGCGCGAGCCCCCCCGCCGGGGTCACGTGACCTCGAGGGGGGGGGCACGTGCCCCCCCCCCCCCGAGGTCACGTGACCCACCTCCCCGAGGTCACGTCACCCCCGAACTCACGTGACTCCCCTGAGGTCACGTGACTCCCCTGGGGTCACGTGACCCCCGCCGAGGTCACGTGACCCCCCGCCGAGGTCAGGTGATCCCCCGAGGTCACGCACCCCCCGCCGAGGTCACGTGACCCCCCGATGACGTCATCGTCACTGATTACGTCACCGGCATCCGCATCGGCATCGGCATCATCACTGATGACGTCATTAGTGACGTCACTGATGAAGTCACCGGCATCCGCATCGTCATCATCACTGATGACGTAATAAATGACGTCACTGATGACATCATCGGCATTGTCATCGTCATGTTACTCCCAGGTCATGTGACTCCCCAAGGTCACGTGACGCCCCCCCCCCGGTCAGTTGACCCCCAAGTACCCTTTCCTCCTCCTCCTCAAGAGCTGCGCTCTAATTCGGCGTTACAGGGAGTTGTAAACGGCTTTCACTTTTTAGATATGAAACTTGTAAGGTTAACATCGGCCGGACTGGGAGCGCACGCTCTCTTTCTCTTCTTGCGGTCTTTGCAATCGCCAGGGAGTCAATGGCATTTTTTTTTTTTTCAGTATGTAGTTCACTTGCTTGTCGCCAGGGCGCAACCACCTCACCCCAATTCACCCCACTCACAGAGTCCCTTCGAGCTGCTTTGCGCTGGTTTTCGAGCTTCGTAGGTTGTTGTTTCGAAAACGGTTTATTGAACTTCGGTTCGATTTAAGTCACTCTATCGGCAGGCAGTGTCGTCAGCAAACTGCGTTCCCCTGTGACGAAAAATTTGCTGAATATGTGCGCAAGCCCTTGAGGAAGCACTTGAGGTTGTAATATGCACTGTGCGAAAATTGTATAGACTACTACACCCTCGTCTAGAGCAGCTGACCGACATCATGGGCGGCCTATGAAACGATGATCCAAACCGCGGCAATAGATAGATTGGGCGTGCTTCTTACATTTCAAGAGAGTGTACGAATTATTTATCATTTAAAGATCCTCCACGTAGAAGGGGTCCGTTTCCTCCTGTTCTTGAGTTGCAACGGAAGTCTTGGAGGTAAAGACGAGTATAGTTTTTCCGCAATTGCATTCGCTGTCTCTACTTACTACTTTTTACATCCAAATCTCTCAAAGACATGCGTCAAATATTCACCGTTTTGGGCTCGTCAGAAGCGCATTAGAGAGTGGCTGAGTGTCTAAACATAAGGATCAGGTGTCAAAGGCTATAAAATCTAGGCCGCAAGTTGCGACAGCGCTGAGATACACTGTCAGACGCGCTCTGTGCAAACGGCAAAGGGTAGGCCAGGGGTGAGGTGACAGCGCCCCCCGCGAATTGCGGCGGGAGGTAGCGATTTGCCCCAATTGAAAAGGCCGTAAGAAGAGAAAGAGAGCGCGCGCTTCGAGTCCGGCCGAGGGTTAACGCAGAGCCACTAAATGAGCTGCGCTTAGAGTATCGGCACTCCGTTCCCCGACATTGCTGTGGTTCCGCCATTTTGGCGCGTATGCAGAGCAGACGCAACTACCGATCGTCATGATTCAAAGGTGCTACTTCCTCAGGATTAGATTCAGTGTTAGGAAGATCATGTAATATTGTTTTGCTCTGTTGTGAACTGTTTAAACATTTGTGGAGAACGGAAAAGCGTTTCCTGGGATTTCAGATAAAGCTTCAGATAACCGGCAACCATAATTTTAGGACACAAAATGGCCAAGTGTCGATACTCTGAAGCGTAGCTTATTTAGTGACACTATAGGTTAACGCGTTCCAAATATCAGAAGGAACGAGGAACGAGCTTTCGTTCCTATTCTTGAGGAACATGTTCCACATTGCGTACATCCCCCGAGAGGGGCATACATCTGGTAGAAGTAACTGGAAAGCGTGCGAAGTGGCGAGGCCGAGAAGTCTACAATAGATCGTAAGGGGACGTTAGGCTTGTGGATTTTGGGGAGACCATAAAAGCCTGGAGTTCATGTTGCACTTTTTGGACTCCCACGGCGACTAGAGAGAAGAAAGGGACGTCAACAACGCAGCAAACGCAGATTGGATGTTGAATCTGCGTCTGTTGCGTTGTGACGTCACTTTCTTCTCTCTAGTCGCCGTGGGTGTCCAAAAAGCGCAACACAGGGCCCCTGGTGTAAGCCACTTCTGCAAATGAGCCGCAGATAAAGGCTCTTTGACTCCGGGTATTTCTTGAAAATCTCCACCAGCATCTCATTCAAGCTCGTCTGAATTCGTGATGTTGGGTCCTTCTTGAGCTTTTCAAAAGAAGGGCTGTCGAGAGGATCTATTACCTTGCTCCTCTACACCTTCGTGTCAAGGACGACGGTCGACTTTCCTTTGCCAGCCAATATCAACTACTATAAACTGATTGTTCAATGCATGATACGAGAAAGTCAAAAATGAAAGGTGAAATAATAAATTAAAAACAAAAAATGTGCTGATAGAAAACAAAAAGCATCCAGAATAAGAAAAAGAAAGGTGTAGGTACCCAATCTCTTTCTCGGACAGTGATATTCATGGTGTGCTAATGCACGTGTCTCGTTTTTCTATTAAAGTTTTTGCCTCAGAAATTTCCCTAGCTTTCTTGCTCCGAAAGCGATTGAGCGAGGATTGCATGTACTGTAACTTTTAGCCGCGACCAGTCAGTCAATAATATATCCATTTGCGTAGAGGGCAGTTTAGGGATCCTGTACGTAAGGCATTCTCTTTGATTGCAAAAATTATTGCCCTTCTCTGTACAGTATACAGTGAAGTTAACATAAACAAGAGACCTAGAGCATCTCTACCTTCACTTACACAGCGGGAAGGTTCTGATCATAATAATTAAGATATGAACGTGCTTGAATGGGGCACAAACCATAGGGGTGAAATTCTGTATCGACACCATCATTTAATTTCTAAAAGTAAAAAAATAAAAAGTTCGCGGTATACCTAAGCCTTCCTTATGAGTTGTGAATGCGAAAGCATGTAAGCCGCTCGACCGCTCTCTTTGTCGTCTGCTGCGCACTAGCGCGGGCGCGCTTCGGGATCTCGGAGGCCATGGCGCAGCGGCCAATGGGAGCCCCGTCGACGCGCGCCAGCCAATGGAACCGAAGGCGAATCGCTCCCGTTGGGATCGCGGCGGAAACTAGGAGCCATTTTCGCGCTTCAAATTGATGACGTCAGCTCGCTCCATAACACATTTATGCTTTCGCAATAAAAAAAAAATGCGACAGCGCAGCGTTCGCATTGACGATGTTGCGTACTATACACATGATACCTCGGCTCCTGGTGCTAGGATATACGTTAATTCCAGTGATTGGAAAGGAGTGGATGTGTTGTGCTTGTCAATTAACTGTGAGTTTAAAAAGAAAAAAAAAAGCGACCCGTGATTTTTTTAAAACTTTTTTTAAAGGTCGTCTGTAATATTTGTGTTACGCATTGTGTCGTCCACATATGCTGAAGCGCTTGTGTCAGCTACGGGAGAATCGATTTACGCATCGACCTAAGCGAAATGCTAATATAATTTAAGCCATCTTATCTGTAAACCAAAGGAATATTTAACACTATCATTCATTTCAGAACACAGAGTTACTCACGGTGGTCTGCCGGATTGGACAAAATCCGGTGAAAACTTTTTCTTCGTTGAAACATCGGGCATTTCTTGCCTAACCAGCCGCCAGGCGTGTAGCATCGAATCAGCAGCGAGGACAAACCGAGGATCTACGGTATTCTTGCTGACGGTTCGGGAACTAGAACAATGCAGGTACAATGGCGAAAAAGTCCTTGTTTGATCAAATTTAAAGGTTCGCGTCTTCAGAAATCGGGGCAAGTTTTCACTAAGAAGCTTGGTGCTTTAGCTCCACTAACAAAAAAAAATAATATTAGAAAGCTCGGTAGGGCCCACATTGATATATACTTTAAAATTTGAAATTTAGACCACCCACGTAGGGTGCATCAAAGGTCGCAGAGTAAAGTATCACGAGTCAAATTGGACGAAGTAGGCATAAACCTTAAAGGGACCGATTTTGACATTGAATTTCATCCCCTTCATCCCCCGCACCTCGCAAAAGGCGTAAAAAGAAACAGAAAAACACAACAATAGGGAGCTAAAAAAATTATTTTCTCTAGAACTTTTAAAAGAAAACCGTACTCTTTTGCACCTTCTGTCCTTTGAAAGCTCTCTGCCTTTAACAGCGATGCATCCGCGGAACCCCAGCACGTCAGCCGAATCCGCGTCGCCTATTGGGTAAGAGCCTACCTCACCAGCACCGTGATCATAAACAATAAATAGCCGGCGAATGTTTCCTAAAAGGTTTGTTAAATAATATTCAGATCCAAAATTTATAGCATAATTTTGAGGTGTGACGAAAATCGCCGAATTTGATAATGCTCAGAGCCAAGCACCATCTATCGTGTGGTAAAAGAAGCAAGAGAAAGACCCTACTGCGTTTGCGCAGTCAGTCCCCGAGCATCGTCTGCCTGAACGGCTTTACTCCTGCTCGCGCTTTCTTCGCGCAGCGCCATTTTCTGGCTGCTCGAGTTTTCTTTACGTTGTTTGTGATCGATCGCTCGGTGGCACTGCTGAAAGACAGCAGTGTACCGAAGTGCCCGAATTACAGTTTCTGCAGTGCGGTGGTTAAAAAGAAACAGTTGTAGTTTCGACGCTTGCCACTCGATGAACACGTTGTCAAAGAATTCGACTATTTTTCTCTATTTTAGAGTTTTCGTGAGGGAGCGCATCCGGTTGGTGATCGCCGGATGCAAGTTGAGCGGGAGAGCTGGGGCCATCGGCTTGTGCTGTTTCGCGGCCCCCGCTAATTAGGAACCGCGAGAGGGGTCCCCTCCCGAGGAGGATGCGGTGGCATGTCTTGTCCCCAACTCGGGCGCGGTTTCTTCTTCTTCTTTTTTTTCTTTTTTTGTTGTTGTTTTGACAAGGAAAAATATGGTAAAGTGAGGACCTCGGCTTGGTTTCGAGCCGAGTCAAGTCAATGTATGCCGAGACTGGAGAGGTGAGTGCACGCGCCGCGAAAGTTAAGAGCGACAGCGAGTGCGGCGGAAGGCGGAACGCGGGAAGAGCTCGGAGCGGCTCTGCAGGTCCCCAAGTGTGCGTGCTCGTGGATGAGTGTGGTGCCGAGGAGCATCGCACGGATCGTCCAAGCGCACACAGACTTCCCCTTTTCGACCAGCGTCGCAACGGACCCGCGTCACCGGCACTCACAAAATATCTAATTGAATTTCGCTCAGCTGTGCAGATTCTGAAAATACGTCGGTTACATTAGCGCAGTAAAACCCTACCGGCACATCCCCAACTCGCCGCCGCCATTCTGCTACTACCTAGAGAACGTCCGGTTCCTATGCCAGAGTACGTGACGACATTCAAAATTACGCCGCAGCTTGTTTTGCGGTCAGTTAGAGAGAAAGAAAAAGTCGATACTTTATTAATTTTTTTGTGTGTAGACGTTAATTAACCGAAACGAAAACGGATGCCTGTTCGGCATTGAGTGAACATTGAAGGTTTAATGTAAAAGTTATTTGGGCAAAAGTAAAAAGGTCATTTAATGGTCCCTTTAACCTCGTTAGGCCTCAGGCAAGCTGTTAAACCTTGTCTGTTCACCTACTTTTCCTTTCCACTTTTAAACTTTATTCTTTGCACCCTAGTTTCAGGTACTTTCCGAAAGAAGTAAGCGCGAACATTTGTCTCTGTGGTTTAATATATTGTAGAAAGGCGACTGCTGAGATAAACATGGAATATTCTTTAGTTTCGTTTATTCCCACATCACTAGCGCTAGGTCATTGGCAAGAGCGGGGCATCGGAAAGTGCTCATGTATGACATGAAATGTTGATGAACAAATTTGTCCTGAAAGCAATTGGTAGACTGTAAGAATTCTGAAGTGTCTTGTTTCTTGCAAATCACCGTAGAGAACCAAACGCTGCTCAACCTATGAAGGATGAGTGAAAAGGCCGAAAATATATTTCGATTTAAAATAAACATGGGTGTGCTATGGGGATGAGCACGAGGAAACGCCATTTCCAGTGCCACAGCGCAGACAGGTATTCGACGTCTGAACGCATTTTAAGTATCTTTTCGGCCCAGCTCACTTTGTCGGCTGCAACGATTAGGTTTGCAAACGTTTGCGAGAAAATAGATACTCCAGATTTCTTAAATAATCTGCAAAAAAGTTCATTGCATGATGACGTTTTGTTTTTGCTAAGTTTATCAAGCACTCGAATTTTCTAGCGTGGAAAAGTAAAAAATTAAAGAGCGTATATACGGCGCGTTTCACCGACGGCCAAGAAAATAAAAAAGAGCGCTTGAAATCATCAAAATTCCTATGATGACGTTATCGACCTTGGAGGACGTTATGTCCGGACTGTAAATTATAATTAGTAAATGAATTACCTAGGTAAACAACTAATTTCTTTCAGTATATTCACATTGGAACAGTACTATCAGAGATGTGTGGCCCGCCGTCAAACGACACGATTGCGAAGTAAGAAATCAGACACGTAAATTGTGCTTCGCACTGTTGTCTGCCAATCTTCAACCACGAGGAAATTACGATACCTAAAGGAGATGCGAAAGGGAGGCGGAATTGAATTATTTCCGGTATTTAGGACTCTATACTTCCTAAATTTGCCAGAGAATAGATCGCACAATAATTTAGCTGTCTGAATTCCGACAACAGCCATGAAACTTTTGGCGACGGGCGACCTATTTCTAGCTGAGACGTGCAAGCCGTGGCACATATTTCAGGTGTAATGAAATAATTTATGTAAGTGTTTCAAAAAATCGCTTTACACTCTCTCCCGACGTCTGCCGCGGACGATCACATTCTTCATAAAAAATATATATATATATATTTTTTTTTTTCAAGTGCGCCTTTAAGTTTTATATCATTATCTGTTTTTGGTGAAATACACCAAATAAAATATTAAGGTGGGCTAGCCAAGTACAAGCTGTGTACTTGACCTCTTTCTTTATTGTTATTTCTCAGTTCTTTCAACGTAACTTCCTCTACCCATCAAGGTAATTTCATTTTGGGAATTTTCTCATACCGAAAAGAAAGACGAGAGAGAACGCTACCTCTTTCTCGTCTTCTGTGTGATTATTAAAACAACAGTTGTGAGTTAACGCTTGTACCGTCAGTTCGGACTTGACCTTCGCGCCATTTATTTTGAAAAAGAACACCAAATAAGTTAAACATTTCTCTTTTGGCCATGGTGTTTAACCGAAGTTATCACAGGCATGCTTGTCATAGACCGGCGGACTATAAGTTGGTGACCTCGTTACAAGCAAGCTTGTTAAAGTCCATTTGGCCGTAAGGTGAAATCTATTTGCTATTTCCGTTCGTGGCAAGGACAGGTCGCGCAAGCTTCAACTCGATTTTAAGGGTCAGCAGCAGGACCAACTTAAATAAGGGGGAGACCTGTCTACTGAGCGGTGGCTCAGCGCCAGCTTAAAAGTACGCGCATTCTTCACGAACGCTTGCGGTGGCGCTCGGAGCCCTCCCACCTCGGAGCCGTTACTGGAGCAAGCTCAGTTTCGCAGCTCCCTATTCTCGCCTGCAGAGTCGAGTGGCCCAGGTGGCGGTCACAAGAACTAGCGGCGCTGCAGTCGGATCTTGCTTCCCTGTCTCGCGCGTCGTCTACTATGCTCTTTTTCACCATACGTTGTACCGCAGCGAAGGCTAGAAGCGCGAGCTCGTAGCGTTGGCAGCTACCTTTATTGCACGAGAGCTTGTGCCGCCGAGATGTGCCCCAGAACAAGGGACTCGCGCTTGTAGCCTTTCCTGCGGTACATCGATCATAAGGTGAAATAGAACATACCACGGCGTCGAGAGCTTCGAACCCCCCTTTTTTTTTTTTTACTTCCATGTGTATAATAGCAAAAAAAAAAAAAAAGATACAGGTGAAGTGTAATACACCACAGAGATTAGAGTCAGCGCACTGTCAGTGTTCTTTCTTTGAGTGTTTGACATTTATTTTTTGTGCGTTTGTTTCCTTGCGCTACGAAGTGTTAGTATGAATCTACAACTCGCCGAAGCTCAAGTATTGCTATTCAAACTTGGCGGCCTAGACAATCCGGAAGCAAGGCTTGACTGCAGCGCTGCTGGTTCTCATGACCGCCACTGAGCCTACGTCGCAGGCGGAGCTGTGAAACTGAGCTTGCTCCAGTAACTTTGTTCAGAGCCCTATATTAGGAGAGTTTGGACAATGGGCGGAGCAGAGGCCGCCGCCAGCGCCGAAAACTCCCCCCGCGGTTAGCGCATAAACTAAAGGTACGACACAGCGTCGACCAATCAGGAGACCGCGACGTCACAATATTGCAAACGACCTTTAAAGCGTAAAAATAAGCGTTCAATATTGGCCTCTCTACTTCAACTCACAAATGTCTGCTGTAAAGACAAAGGCACAAGCTCGTGAGCCTAGCTCAGCGAAATGCTTTTGTTTGTCCGAGAACTCGTGCATAGGTTGTGCAGCTGAAGTATCGGTGACAGTTTGCTCTGGGCCGGCTTGCTAGAACCAACGTTACTGGAGCAAGCTCAGTTTCGCAGCTCCCTATTCTCGCCTGCAGAGGCGAGTTACCCAGGTGGCGGCCATGAGAACTAGCGGCGCTGCAGTCGGATCTGGCTTCCCTGTCTCGCGCGTCGTCTACTACCACCGCGTTGTTAAGAGCTTCCTTTTTTTTTCTTTTCTTTTTTTTTTTACTTCCATGTGTGTAATAACCTAAAAAGGATGATGAAGATGAAGTGTAATACACA